TACTACTACTACTACTACTACTACTACTACTACTACTACTACTACTACTACTAAAAATGATAATAGGAAAAGGATAACTTAAAAAATGATAATGATAATAATGATGATAATGAAAAGCATTTATGTAGTGTCATATCCGTGTTCTGCATACAGCATGCTCTATAATATGCTTTACAATAATTGTTACCAGCGGAGACCACCAGCCACCCACATTACGGAATTAAAATGGGTTTTGAACTCAAATCAAATCAGATCTACAGACACCGGAATTCTAGAAAATGCCAGCATATCTTCAGCATATTAATATCTCTTTGTACCAGCGTGTAAGGTCTAGCGGTTAGGTTCTTCCTCGTCGCAGGCAAGCAGAAGGCCTGAGTTCGATTACCATGTGTGAGTGGTTGGCGGGTGCTCTGGTGTGGTTTGCTGCTTCTTTCCTATCAAACATCTATCGTCTTTATCTCTCCTCCTTTTTTGTGTTTGTTACTCTCTTGGAACACCTCTAATCTTTGGCACTTATATGACCTTATTGTGTTGCAAGTGCCGTAAAACACTTACTAAAACTAAAAGATTACCATGTGGGGGAAGAATCTTAATAGCTCGGTCTTTCTGCTGTGACGTTGCATCCGTCTCAGTCCGAATTGGCCCTGAAAGGCGGGGCCGAAGCCACCGCCTAAATGATCTAAATCGTGTCGGTGGGAGTGTAAAACCAACCAACAAAAACTAGGATTTCGCTGTGTCCCACTTTGTCCTTCCCTCACGCTCAATCCACTTCACAATGTTCGTCCCGAAACAAGAACACGCCAGGAAAACAAAACGAAACACCCCCCCCCCAAAAAAAAACACACACACACAAAAAAACCCAACAAAAAACCTACGCTTGATCATAATTAATTAGCTTTCCTCCGCTCTTGACTCGTGTAACAATCGTGTGGATGTGAGCAAAACACGAGGCCGCTAACGAGCTGCGGAGCGACAATGCTGTAAAACTCCGAGAGCATTAATTATTTTTGTGAAAGGTCCTGAAGGAAATATCTGTAGAAAGAGCGTGGGACCGCGACAGGTGGTGGTAACACACGGTGGTGCCAAACTGCTCCGGGCAGGCGGAATCGGAGAATCGTTCATTAGTGTCACCCAGTTTGAGAGATCGATGACGTGTAAACTCTTCCACTCATTACAGAAAGTTCGGGAATATTATAGTTGGGATTTTTATTTTTTTTTTAAAGTCTCTCGTTTTTCTTGACCTTCTTGTTCCTGCACGTGTTCTTCTTGTTCTTCCTGTTCTTGTTGCTGTTGTTGTTGTTGTTGTTATTGTTGTTGTTGTTGTTGTTGTTGTTGTTGTTGTTGTTGTTCTTCTTCTTCTTCTTCTTCTTCTTCTTCTTCTTCTTCTTC